GGCTTTTTTCAGCCCAAAAAGTGGGCTGAAAAACTCGGCTTATACTCGAGTATATACGGTAAGTGCATTTTGAAAGCACTTCCACATCAGTATGTATTTACAGAATGTTTTACTTTCGGTGTACTGAAGCATACTGTATATATTCAACTCCGTCTAATTATACAGGACATTCTACAAGAATGATCACAATGGAGGATCTGGCTGAACCAAGTATCTTAGCCATAAATGCATTGTAACATTAGGCAGCCCTACATATGAATACTTTTGGATTGGAACGGCTGTCTTTGCAAACAATACATACAATAAATTGTGAATAAGTATACTGAATATAAGAGAAATTAGCTAAAATATGTGTATGCATTATTAAACAGAGAAGAGTACATTCGCATGCAAAGAAAAAACTTCAAGAAACAACATGTAACTATGAAGCATTTACGCATTTAATACTACTACTGTTGCACTAAACAAATATCTATAGCATTTATCATAAAAAATTTAGGTTTTGCTTCACCAATATCAATTTATAAACAGTCACGTTTAAAGTAAAGTCCATAGCCAACCATATGTCATTCCTAACTGGTAAAAAAAAACCTTCAGGAAATATTATCAAGCAACATTACACAATTTTTCCAGAGAAAACAACTTTTAAAGTAGACCTGAAGCAATTGCTAATTAACAACCAAAACAGGATTTAGGTTTTAGCAGCCACTGCCACTTCCTCCAATTATAACACTGAAGGTTTTTGTTATATAGCAATAAATCAAGTACTTTGTTTTCAAAAAATATCCAGATTCTCCTTTAAATGTATTGTATCTTTCATTCTTCATCAGAAAAAAATATCTACATATAATTTTATTTCCCACAAATAAAAATAAAGTTACAAATCCATCTGGTCTGTTGCAGATCTTCCCAGAGATCTAATATTCTTGTATCAATTGTGTATCCTTTTTGTTTTTATCAATTTTGAAATGTATGCATTACTTAGCAACTTACACAGTGTATATTCCTCAACATGGAGAGGGCAGATGCTATATTTCTGGCAATAGATTTATTTTCACAATCAACACACCATATACTCAGGAATAGTCACACTGGATAAATTAGATTATACAGTGTTTTTGGAGAAGCACATATTTCAGGCTGTATATGACTTGCAGAAATATTTTAGCAATCCTCTTTCACTTTATTTTAAAGAAACAGATACAAAAAAACCCAATACATGAAAGCATTTCAGTCTTTTAATATACTCAGGCACACAACTTATCATTAACACTGGTCTGTGCAGCACAGAAGTAAGGCAAAGGTACATAATGTCTGAACTGTAATCCAACAAAAATCTAGAGACTCTAAACCATAGTGCCTTGCAAAACAGCAACAGATTTTCACTAGTCCAAACATGCTTCACCTAAAACAAAAACCAGGCCATAATATTAAAGCATGCTCACCTGAGTAAATGAGAGTTTCCTTCCCCATCACTTTCCAATGTAAGTAAAATCAATAGCAGTCAGTAGGATATAAAAGT